AAAAAAAATATATATATTAAAAAATTGTTGGGCTGGGGTTGTGGCTCAGCGGTATGGCGCTCACTTAGCATGTGCAAGGCCCTGGGTTCGATCCGCAGCACCACATAAAAATAAATAAATAGAGATACTTTGTCCAACTACAACTAAAAAAAAATATTAAAAAAAAAATAAAAAGGGTACTTTATATATTGTGATTATAAATGAATTATAATTATGATTATGATTATTAGTGCTGGGGATTGAACCTAGGGCTTCATGCATGCTAGGGAAGCAGTCTACCACTGAGCATAGTATATCCCCAGCTGTTTGTTATTTTTTTCCTTAAAGGCTTACCTGAAACTTTCTCCTCAATGCCCGGGTCATCACTGGGGTCAGTCCAGTTCCTGTTTCCATATTTTCTTTATTGGTTAGAGGGGTTCCACCTGGGCTTCTACAAAGGTATTGAAAATATTAGGAGCTGTGCTTTATATACATTTTTCAAATGGATTTAGAAAGCATAAAGAATGCATTACCTTTCTACATCAACTTTTCTAAGCAGTTTCCGCAGATCTATCTGGCTTTTACCAGGAGTACTGATAAAATAAATATATAAAACATTAGAACTTGACAGATTTTATCACTTTTCCTAAAGCAAAGAAGAAATTTTTATAGGCAACCTAGAAAGGAATTCTATTTGCTACATTAAAAAACAGCAATAGAGCTGGACATAGTGGCATGCTCCTGTAAACCCAACCGCTCAGGAAATTGAGGCTGGAGGATCACCAAATTTGAGGTCAGCCTCAGCAACTTAGTGAGACTCTGTCTCAAAACAAAAAAGAAAAATGATTGGGAATGTGTCTGAGTGGTTAAACACCCCTTGATTCAGTTCTCATTATGAAAAAACAACAAAAAAAAACAGCAGTAGAGTCACACGCCTGTAATCCCAGYCACCTGGGAAGCTAAAACAGGAAGTTCAAGGACATACTGGATAATGAAAAGAGCAGCAAGGTCCTGGATTCAATCCCAAGTACCATAAAACAAAACAAAACAAAACAGCAGTATATGCTAATGACAGTGTAAGGTGATAACATGTAGCCATTTTAATAAGTAACACTTTTTGGGGGGTGGGGATAGGGGGCGGGTGGCGGGTACTGAGATTTGAACCCAGATCCTCATACATACTATTCAAGAGCTCTATCACTGAGCTATAGCCCCATTTCCCAGTAATACTTCTTGACCCAGTAACTACATCTATAAGAATCCATCCTAGGGAAAAATTCAACTATGCATACAAGTTATGGACAAAAATGTTCACTGAAGAATTAGAGAAATTAGAAAGCATAGTCAGAAGTGGTAATGTACCCTTATAATCCCTGATACTTGGGAGGTTGAGGTAGAAAGATTACAAGTTCAAGGCCAGCCTAGGCAATTTAGCAAGATCCTATCTCAAAGGGGAAAAAAGTAAAAAGGAGTAGGGAAGTAGCTGAGTAATAAAGTGCTTGCCTTACATGCATGAGGCCCTGGCTTCAATCCCCAGTACTGGCCCAAACCAAAACCAAACCAAAACAAGAACAAAATAAACTCACAGGGCTGAGGTTGTGGCTCAGTGGTAGAGTGCTTGCCTAGCATGTGTGAGGCACTGGGTTCGATTCTCAGCACCACATATAAATTAATAAATAAAATAAATGTCCATCAACAACCAAAAATATTTTTAAAAAATAACCTCACAAACAACCTAAATGTCATTTTTTWAAATATTTTATTTACATTTTAGTTTTCGGCAGACAGAACATCTTTGTTTGTATGTGGTGCTGAGGATGGAAACCGGGCCGCACCCATGGCAGGCGAGCTCACTACCGCTTGAGCCACATCCCCAGCCCCCAACCTAAATGTCTTYAAACAGAGTTTTATGTATGAAATTTACATATAATGAACTACATAGTTTGAAGAAGTCAAAATGATATTTTAATATTATTTTTATTATTATTTGATTTTTTTTTTGTGGTACTGGGGATTGAACCCAGGGCCTTGCACATGCAAGGCAAGTACTCTATCACTGAGCTATATCCCTAGACCTTAAGCTAGTTTTTAATAATATGACATCTTAAGTGGGAAAAGCTGTAACTATATCTATAATATGATTATATTCAGTACACATACACATCCCTTTTTTGGGGGGCGGGTACTGGGGCACTTAACCACTGAATCAAACCTCTAGCCTCCCCTCAATCCCCTCCCCTTTTTTAAAAAAATTCTGAGACAGGGGCTTCCTATAATTGAATAGGGCCTCCCTAAATTGTTGGTGCTGGTCTCAAATTTGCAATTCTGTCTCAGACTCCTGAGTTACTAGGATTATAGGTGTGGGTCTTCTGTTTTCTTGATTCTAGATATGCTAATTTTTATATTTTATTATTTCTGAAATCAGTTTGTTTTAAAATTTCTTGATAGTTTTTCTGGGGATGGAACCTAGAACTTCACACATACTATACAAGTGCTTTACAACTAGCTACTTCCCCAACTCCCCAAATCTGTCATTCAATTAATGATATATCTTGTAATGGTATCTTGAAATGGAGGCAATAGAGTAGTGTATATCCAGAAAAAAAGACAAAAAAAAAAAAGGTACTTGGGTTGTGGCTCAGTGGTAGAGCACTTGCCTTGAATGTGTGAGGCACTAGGTTTGATTCTCAGCACCATATATAAATAAAAAATAAAGGTTTGTCAACAACTAAAATGAATAAAATAAATAAAATTTATGGGGCTAGGGTTGTGGCTCAGCGGTAGAGCGCTTGCCTCGCACAAGCAAGGTCCTGGATTTGATCCTCAGCACCACATATAAATAAACAGTTATTGTGTTCAACTACAACTACATAAAAAAAAAATAATAAAAATAAATAAATAAATAAATAAATAAAGACAAAAGCGGGGGCTAGAATGATAAAACAGTATATTAGCATGTTAACAGCAGCTATCTCCAATGATAGGATCATTAATAAGACAGGAGTTGAAAGACTCAAAGTGAGGTTTTTCCTGTGGTACAGTGCTTGCCTAGCAAATGTGAGGCACTGGGTTCAATTCTCAGCATCACATATAAACAAATAAACAAACAAACAAATAAATAAATAAATAAAAGGTCCATCAACAACTAAAAAATATTTTTAAAAAATCACTTTTAAGCCAAGAGTGGTGGCACATGCCTGTAATCCAGTGACTCAGGAAGCTGGGGCAGGAGGATTGCAAATTCAAGACCAGCCTTAGCCAACTTCAAGCTAAGTTGCTTGAAGCCCTAAGCAACTTAGCAAGACCCTGTCTCAGAATAAAAAAAATGGGTTGAAGATGTGGCTCAGTGGGAAAGTGTCCCCTAGGTTCAATCCCCAGTACCTGCCTCCCCCACCAAAAAAAACCAAAAACTTTTAAGTAGCCATAGAGTATAATGCTGTGTATGTAGTTCCTTACATTAGAACATTTGTAACTCGAGTTGATAATGCTTTGGAGTTCGGTTTCAGGGTAACACGCTGCAAGTCAGAGACAGTAACCAGTGGATTCCGAGCCTTTGGTGATGGTACAAGCTTTAATCATAAAATGAGACTTTATTAAATACATATTTTCAAATGTAATTCAAAATGTAAACATGCTTAAACACCATTTATCTAAGTGCCAAGACATACCCACTTCTCTGCTCAATTTTTATTCCAAAGCTTCAAAGTATGTCTTTACCTTTTGGGATTAATGGTTGGTGATAAAACTGTCTAATTAAATAAATTTGAGATCTATACATTTTGTTTTGGATTCAAATCTACTAAAACAGCACATATTTAATTTGAAATAACTTCTACAGATAGGGCACATGATTATTTTCCATACAGGGACAACCAGGTTGAAAGGAGAAAGACCATGTATATGGTCAATGCTACCTTACCTTCTTCCTTTCATCAATATTCTGTGTCTTCTTTAATTTCACAGTCAGAAGATCTTTAACTGTTATCTGCAAAGGTCCATCTTTTTTTAATGGTCCAGTCTTTAAATACATGAAGATAGAATTTAAATTAGAATCAGAATATCTAGTGAAATGTAAATTCAAGTCCAGATTTCCAAGATTCAGAGTTAAGCCCAGCACTGTGGTACACGTTTTTACTTCCAGAGACTCCAGAGACTAAGGCAGAAGGATTGCAATTTGAGGCAAACCCCAGCAACTTAGCAGGGCCCTAAACAACTTAGGGAGACCCTGTCTCAAAATAAAATAAATAAATTAATTAAATGGGCTGAGGATGTAGCTCAGTATCAAAAAGAAAAAAGAAAAAAAAAAGATAAAAGTTACCTCTCATTTACCCTAGGAACCTATCAAATTCTTTCCACTTAAGCAAGAATGATCCTATTTTCAGTACTTAAGGATGCTAATTTGAAAAATATTCATAGAAGTGTAAGGAATTAGCCAGATGTGGTGGTATACACCTATAATCCCAGCTTTTCTGGAGGCCGAGAGAGTAGGATCACAAGTTTGAGATCACTCTTGGCAATTTGGTGAGAACTTGTCTCAAAATAAAATAATTTTTAAAAAGGGCTGGGGCTAGGGCTGGGGTTGTGACTCAGTGCTGGCCTAGCATCTGTGAGGCACTGGGTTTGAGCCTTAGCACCACATAAAAATAAATAAATAAAATAAAAGTATTGAGTCCATCTACAACCAAAAAAAAAATATATTGGAAAAAAAAATTCATTAGCTGGCATGATGGTGGGTAGTCCCAGCTACTCAAAAGGTTTGAGGCAAAATTGCTTGAGTCCATAAGTTCAAGACCAGTTTGGTCAACACAGTAAGACCCAGTCTCCAAAACAAATAAACTATTTAACATAGTGAAGATATGGAGTCAGAACAACTATAACCTTCGGTTTAAGCATTTAGCTCAGCCTTAAAAGGCCACCGAGGCTTTACTCCTATATTACATGCTGACCAAAACTCACCATGACTAGATTACTTCCTACCTGAAGTGCTTGAGTGAGGCCAGATTTTCTGAGCAGCAAAGGTGCTAGTGGGGGTGGCGGAGGAGGCAGAGGAGGAGGTGGAGGAGGAGGAGGTGGAGGCAGAGGTGGAGGAGGATGGCTGGCCAGCTGCGGTAGTGTGGGAGGAGGTATAGCTGGGGATTCCTCCAAGGTGATTACATCACTGGCAGGCTCCTTTGTAAGTTTACCACTCCTGTAACACGTTTGACCACAGCTTGGACAAGAATTTTCTGAGACAATCTGGAAGAAGACGTTACATTTGGCAAATGCATAATACGTTAATTTGATTCTTGTGGCAGAAAGTCATTAAAATAATAGCTAAAAAATAATGAATGCTTTCTCAATGTACCATTTTCTCAATTGTCATAACTTTCTTCATTTCATTTCTTCATTCATTTTGTATGTGATATATGCTAGGCACTGAGTACGGTGGGAGCCCTGTCTGTGACCTCGCAGACAGACATTAAATGTACATAGACACACTTAAAACCATACAAAATAACACTTAAAGGAAGAACAATGAAGTGTGCTCTGAGATTGAACAGCTAGTCTTGGGGAATGATAATTAGTCACCAAAGAATGAATTAAGGGGGCTGGGGATGTGGCTCAAGTGGTAACGCGCTCGCCTGGCATGCGTGCGGCCCGGGTTCGATCCTCAGCACCACATACCAACAAAGATGTTGTGTCCGCCGAGAACTAAATAATAAATATTAAAAATTCTCTCTCTCTCTCTCTCCTCTCTCACTCTCTCTTTA